AAAAGTGCTTTCAGATGGTATCCAAGAAACGATTATATCCAACTCCAGCGTTCAAGGGAAATAGAGCCACAGAAACACTGACCCTGAAACTCAGAAATCTGATAGAAAAAACCTTTGCTGCCGCTACACTTTGAAATTTATTACTCGCTATGTGATGCCAACGCAGTTGAAGGATGGGCTTCCGAATCTGACCACATCCATGTGCTTTTATAGATTTAACTGCTCCTTTGGAGATAGTTGCCGAGGTAGGACGACTCGGCAGGCCCATCAACGCTTCATTGAACACTGCCTAGAGTGGTTACGCAAAGGAACACTGAAATCTATCAAAAGCTCAATACTCACCCATCTGGTAGATACTGAGCATGAGATTGATAAAGCCTTATAATTTACTACTATTTACAAAGTGCGATCACAATACTTTAAGTTTAGGGACCTCCGATTGCTAAGCATAGCAGAAGTCATAGCAATTAAAAACTTAAACCTGATTTGTGTATTTGGATATTTGTTCCTTTTCTTTCCCTCCTATGGCCTTCAACTTCAGCCCAGATACAATTACAATAGTTCCCTTCCCGGTTACTCGGATAAATGTAAATACTATGTTCGTACTCCTTTCATTATCATTTCATGTTTCCCCCTTAATTTCATAATTGACTAAGAATTTTAACATTTTATTATCTGGTTGTCATGAGACAACAACTGTATTCCCTACTATCCCTGTACACATAATTCCTTCACACACGAGGAGTTGCATCATGTTGGTAAACGTACTCTATAGAGTTTATGCAGTCGTGTAACATTTTGGTAAAAGCTTCAGTTCAAGGGCAAAAATAAACAAAGCGAGAATTTAAAAACTGGGAAATTTTTAAATAGCTAACCATTAGCTTTAAATACAAGTTTTCTATATACGTGAAATAGAGCGAATTACACCATAAGATTGGCAATGTTGGATACAGTCAGCAGGAGCAGTGGATTGACTGCATTACAACTATTGATAAAACGATTAGTGCTACGACTACGCAAACTTTTTGTCTATAGTGTATTCCTTAGTGAAGTTGCAACGAATATACAACAGCCCAGAATGCTAAAACACAAATAAAATAGCTAAAAGAAGCAGATTTTAAAAACAACTTACGCGTCGATTTGGCGTCTTTTTGCTGTCAACTGACGTACTTCCTTTTCCTTTCTCTTGATGGAATGTACCATTTTCTTGTAAACGTTCTTATGCTTTTTCGGCAGCATTAATTCCCTTAGTTTTCGTTCAGCATTCGCTTCCTCTTTCTCTTTGAACTGCTTTGCTGCTTCACTTTCAGTTCGACCAGGAGTTACCTTAGGCTGCATACCTGCATTAAATATTTTCAAACAAATAAAGAACTCTATGAGCCTAAATATGCCTGGATACTACGGAAATTAAAATATACTACCAAACTTCCGCTTATTCTCCTTGCTCAGTTACTTTGTATAAAGACTGCAGTACTCTATACAATGCGGTACCTAGGAGAGAAGCACTTTTGTGTAACTGAGCGACGAAATAGATCCTGAACAAATTTTACTACTTAACATTGGAAGGTTAAACCACCGTAATGATGCACACAGTCTTATGCTTTTATACCCATCTTTTTTTTATTACGAATAATTGTGAAACATTGGTTTGAAGTTTTGGATGGACAAGTTTAAATTCAGTTGGCTGTAGGGGTGAGATGTGACACATTAAGCAACAAAAATATCATAGTAGTTTCACAATGTCATACTAGTGATTCTTGATTTTGTACGACGGATGGGTTTGTAGTGGTAATGAAGTACCTAAAACTGAGAACATAAATAAAACACAAAGCCAGCAGAGCATTTCAGAATTCGTTTAATAGATTAGTACCAAGGTAAGTCATTATATTACAGCGCTGAGTGTCAAAGAGATTATAAAGAATACTGTAAGATTAAAACATACCCCTTGTAACTTTCTTAAGTTTACGGCGTTCCTTTGCATGCTCATCTGTTTTCAACTGACTTTCCTTTTTAGCAGAGTCATCCAAAATTTCTTTCATTACTGAATCTTTTTCGGTTGTATCTTCGGACTGCGCCTGTACTCTGGCTCCACGGATTTCAGCCAAACTGACTAAACCAGCCAGATAATCAGCTTCTGGTGGGCGATAAATGGACGCACCATCACCGAGTCCAGGACAACACCTGTAAGTCCACCACGGGTTGTGAGTGAGTTAATTGCAGTGTTCAGAGCCTCATCGGTACCAGAGCTTCCCACAAAGGGACTCAAATGGGGTGGGAGACTACAACCAGGAAGGTAATCTTGTGTAGGCAGTAACCTGCCAGCATTTAGGCAGTCAAAAACCCACTGTGGTTGTACATAGTATCTGCAATTAGAAAAATTGAGTTTGATCAAAGTTATTTGAAGGCAATAGGCATAAGCTTCGGAAAAAATCAAGTAGCATATGAAACATCCGATTGTACAGAATGACGCCGCTTGATTACTGTTACGACTCACCAGTTATGCCCAGATGTTAAGCCGTAACTGAATCACAGAGAAGCATTGACACATTCATGAGTGTTCGAGTAAAGAGCCTACAACAAAGTGATGTACTTACTCGGCAACACTCAGTGAGACATTACCATAAGACTTCTCGATCAACGGAGTCGAATGACGCATTCAGGTGTAGAAATACTGCTGATGTTGGGGATTGGTAAGTGTGCCTGTGTTTCGGAAACTGGCAGAGTTTGATTAACTGGTTGATACACTCACGACTAGGTATGAACACGGTCTGGTTTTTTCTGGTTCGGTGATCGTGAGATCCACTCAGACATTTGATGATTATAGAAGCTAGAATTCAAGACACTATATTTGTCAAACTGATTCCACTGTGGTTACCACGAGATGACTTCTGCCGTTTTGAAGACGACTGATACTGACTGACAAAATCAACGTAGAACCTCGAATGCTAGTGCATTCGATCAAGTTGCCACACTTCACAGCAGACAAAGAACAGGTGCATAGAAAAAGTGATATCAAAGGAGACAAAGTTTTGTGACAGAACAAACGGTTGGTGCAAATATTCAGGCTTTAGAAAATGTCAAGAAGTGAATAATCTGCGCCACTGTGACCGGTTTTCAGAGAGCTCACCAACAGTCCTCAACCACTGATTCCAATTGTTCCGAAGCCTCAGCCAGGAAGTGTACACCTCTTCATACGGCTCAGGTCAACAGTCACAGACTTCATGCATTGGTGTCACGTCTTAGTGTAGACACCCTAAACTGTCATTCAAACTAATCCAACTTCCATCAGCATTGCACACCGAGGTGGGTGGTGGCTTGGCATGCGCAGGACAGGTCCAAGCTATCTCAGTCGATGAAAATCCATAACCTCATTGGTTGACTTGCGTTCTTTCCCTAGATCCCTTTGGCTGATTTCTACATTGCTCTCACGGTATGTCTTATGCGAGAGGAATGCTACGAAGAGATCTGCGATCAAAGACATGCAACCGATTCACATCTACTTTGAACGGCCATGTCTCGAAACCGCAGAACAGAAAAAGAATGGAATGCAGCGCAGAATACTCGTCTTGTGGTAGGTAGTCGGATATCTCGCCAGCCGGCGCTAAGAATGAGGTTGGCAGGTGACACATGAGCCTTTTGTCTCCAAGCTGAGATTTCGTAAGCAACCAACTCGTTCGCACTGATGCAATTGAAGTGGTCGGTGTTTTCCATCACTTCACTCCCTATCCCTAAACTGAAAGTGGATGCAGATCAGTCCTAGATCATGATCTCACATCTGACAGATGTGAAATGCATGCCAAACGTACTCAGAATACTGCTCAACGCGTTCAGATAACCCTGAAATTGTCAGTAGTTTTACCTGGGGGGAAATATCGTCTGCATACTCCAAGTCAACCAGATGAACTGCAGGGTGTAGATCAATAACCGCGAAGTCAGACGTACCTAAGGTTTTGTCCATTAGTACGTCTTTGATGAAGTTAAATAGGAACGGTACCAGTGGGCATCTCTGACGGACACCACACACTAGTTGTCGTCAATTCAGACGACAACTCTCCATAAGCCTTGACAACTCTGTATGAGTTCGTGTACAGAGCTTTGATTAGCGTTATATGGTTGCGTAGTACTCCCTTCACAGTCAGACACCGCCATGACACCTCACGGCTAACAGACAATGCTGCCTTCAAGCTAAGAAATATGATGGCTGTCGGTAAGTATGCCTATGTTCCGAAACCTGAAGGGTGAAGATCTGAACGATGTAACCTCGTTCAGATCTTAAACCTCCCTGATTTTCTTGAGGAAAGTAATCAGAATTAGTAGAAAGTCATAGAAAGGAGGGACAGAACAATAACGAAATTCAATATAGCGATTAGGGAAAAAGTAATATCTGGATGCAACTGCGCAACTGGGATCAATTTTCAGCTCTACCACCCAGTCTCCAACCACCGATTTCGGCTGTTATGCGAACTGCAGCCAGGGAATCTACATTCCACTTTATGGCTCACGGTAGCAATTATAAGCTTCGTAGAATGCTAAACTTTAACCTAGCATAAGTGTTTCTGCAATTAAGTTTGAAAGAACTGGAGATAGGATATCCTGGCCAGAAATCAAATAATGAATACCGTACGGTTTATAGAGCAAAGCAACTTAATCCACTAAATGTATATCTGCAATACCAATGAGACAAATTATTATTAGTAGGTATGCGACACTACTCGAGAACTAATACCTAAGTGAGTGGAGCTAGGAATGAACCTGACTATGCTTTCAATTCGAATATTTGTCCAAATGAACCGAATCTCAGACATAGGCTATGAGGCCGCTGCGGGTGTGTAAATATTAGATACCTCTCTTTTAGTAAGACCACGAAAACACGTTTCGATTAACGAAGTCATGTGCTGAGGTTCATTTTAGAGTATCTGCTTGGACTGAAATCGTGCACTAATTCGCGCACTTAGGTCAGTTCTTGAGAGACTCAGAAAAAAACAGCTTTAAAACTTCTCTGTATTCGAATGAAAGACGTAACCATGGCTTTATCAAAACATCCCGACCGATAGCTGCTACCTTGAGGTGGTGGTCGGACTTGCATATCACAATGACCCAATGAGCTATGCTGGTGAAACACTTGTTACCTCGAGGTCCTACCATCCAGGAAGGTTTGTTCGATAGTGGCTAGATGAAAAGCAGTTACCGTTGTGGTGTAAACTACTACACTACGATGGGGGACTGAGGGCGAAGTCGTACTGCTGCTAGCTGGATGGAGTGTGACAGCAGTAAAGTGTTTCCCTTGAATGACCAACCGCGTCATGCCGATGCTGCCTTCTCAGTAGAGGGGAGGGGGTAGAAAAGGTCGATCCCAAAAATAATCCATTATACCCCACGGTCTGCTGGGTCGGCGGTGTTGGTTCATTTGTCGTTTCTTTTCGACGTTCCGGACCCAAAATAACGAAAGTTCAAAACAACCATACACAAAAGACTGCGTGTGACAGGCCTCAAGCAGATGTCTGATGGGCTCTGCGGTCAAACAAATATCTTTTAGATAACTTAAGAAGAAATAGCCTTCCAAGGTGTGGGCAGTCGGAAAGTGTGAACCACCCTCACAACTCTGTCAGTATTCAAGTTTCTTTAGACTGCTACACACCTCTCTCATCACTACCTTCTAATCTTCCTTCTTGTCTCTCAATTAACGACATTATATCATCTTTAATTTCTCCTAGCTCTGCAGCCTTCGACAACGGTCTGAATCCACAGAACAGCATCACTGGTCTCCTTAAACTACGCTCCAAATTACACATCGAGGCCTTCAATGTCCGCACCCTCCGTCAAATTGGTCAACAGGCTTCATTAGTAAAAATTCTAGCAACTCGGGTCATGGATGTGTGCTGTGTTTGTGAGACACGTATACAGGACCCAAGTGCGGTTATTCGCCTAACATCTCCCGGCCAATCTAGTGAATCCGCAAGATTCATACTGGAGATTCGATAGCTAGCTCTCGTGGTCTTGCAGGTGTAGGCATAGCATTAAGCACTAGGGCAGAAAACCCACTACTAGACTGTATCCCAGTTGATAGTCGCCTCTGAACTGTCCAGCTGAACAGCTCAGTGAGAACTAAAAGGAATAGTGAAACTCGCCATTGTCTCTGTAATCTCTGCTTACGCACCCACTGACTGCAGTTCGGATGAAGTGAAGGATGAGTTCTACCGAAAACTGTCTAGCCTCCTCTCGAAAGGCAAACGCTCAGATGTTGTGTTGTTGCAGGTGATTTGAATGCATAGGTGGGTAGACTGAGTGAGGCAGAAAGGCACTTAGGTGGCACTTTCGGAGCCTCAGCTAAACGTACAGATAACGGTGATTGCCTACTACAACTATGCTCAGATAGCCGCCTATTTTCAGCTAGCACAAATTTCATACACAAAGAAAGACACTGTCTGACGTGGCATCCACCGAGCTAAACTCAGCAATGGAGACAGATAGACTACATTGCTACTAGTCATCGGTGGAGAGGATCGATAGAAGACTGCCGCTCCTTTTGGAGTACGTGTTTGGATAGCGACCATACGTTGGTCCGAGTGTGTATATGTCTGCGTCTCAATGGATATAGGAAATATTTGGCAATAAAGCCATTACGAGTGCAGCTCGACAACGAAAACACCAAAGCCGTGTTCAGTGAAAAACTGACTAGGCAGTTATCGAAACAGAACACTCACTCATCCAGAAGAAGCTTGGTGCCATCTCTAGCTTGCCGAAAAAGCAGCGCTGAAGACCGTAACCGACTCCGAAATAATGGCTAAAAAGAGCTAGTGGATATCAGCAGCTTCTTGTAAACTAATGGATGGACGTGAACGCATCCCTGCTGCAGGTTCTGAGTACAGTGAAGAGAGCGCAACTTAAAAATAGACTGAGAAAAAGTCTATGAAACGACCGCGAACAGTGGTGGGCAATGAAAGCTAAGGAGATGGAAAAGGCCGCGGCGATTGGTAACAGTAGACAGCTATTTAGACTTATTAAGGAAACTTGGAGAAAAGGGTCGACTGCGGTTAGTGAGACCACAGCGGAGAAGGACGGATCTGCAATTTAATCGCAGCGGAGACGACTGGAACGATGGGTAGAATACTTTGAGGAACAGTTTAACTGGCCTCCAGCCACCATTACGTTGCCCGCTATCCAGTCGGATCCTGAATGGAACATTGAGATAGGCCTCCAACACTTGCAGAAGTCGAGAAAGCGGTAGGTAACCTGAAACGAAGAAGGGCAGCAGAACCAGAGGAACTACAAGGATGGTGGTAAGGTCCTCTTAGTCATGTTAACGGAAGTGTTAACCGGTATATGGGAATCAAATACGATCCCCTCCGACTGGTCTAAATCGCTGATTATACTAGTCTTCAAGAAAGGCGAGAAGTCCTCTTGTGATAACCACAGAGGGATCAGCCTGACGAACATAGTGTCTAAGATCCTAGGTTCCATAATTCTTCGACGCCTGAGTGGAGCTCGGGAACAACAAGCCTGAGAAGACCAGGCAGGATTTAAACTCGGCCGCGGGTGTATTGAACAAATATTCACACTGCGCCAGGTCCTGGAACACAGACATGCTTCCCGACGCCCAACATTAGCTGTATTTCTCGACCTGAAGGCGGCATTCGACTCCGTTGATCGAGAAGTCTTATGCGAATGTCTCTCACTGAAAGGGGTGCCGAGTAAGTACACCACCCTACTGAAAGCTCTCTACTCGAACACTTGTGGGCGTGTCAGAGCCTATGGTGAGTTGTCCAGGGAGTTATGCTCATCGAGTGGTGTCCTCCAAGGGTGCCCACCGTCTCCATTCGTCTTCACTTTTATCATAGATATACTTATGGACGTTTCCCTCTCGTCACCTAATTACACAGACGTTGACCTAATCATAGTAGGATTTTCGTTAGACCTAGAATATGCAGTTAATATAATCCTGTTAGATGAATACGCTGACAAGATGCAGAGTTTTCTGGACACTTTCAGTGACGATTTGAGTATGTTTGGGATGCGTTTTTCACCACCCAAATGCAAATTGTTGCTCCAGGATTGGTCTTCAACGGTGCCCCACCAAGGCTAACAATACAGAGTGTAGTGGTTGAGTGTGTTGACCACTTCACTTACCTGGAAAGTACGATCAGCCCTACCCTGGTGGGTCAGTGGCCGATGAAATCTCTGCACGAATACAAAAGGCTCGGCTGGCTTTTGCCAACTTACGCCACCTGTGGCGCAGCGGTGATATCCGATTGTCTATTAAGGGTCGTGTGTACTGCACAGAAGTCCGGTCTGTTCTACTGTATGGCTATGAAACATGGCCATTGAAGGTGGAAGACATGGGAAGGCTTCAATTGTTTGTCCATTGTTACCTTCGTAGTACAAGCCGTATTCCGTGGTGTCACCACGTGAGTAATGCAGAAGTCAGGAGTAGAGTTTTAGGGAGAAGATGTAAATCAGTTGACGAGATTATGAACCTTCATCAACTGAGATGGTTGAGACAGGTGTTACGTATGCCTAGTCGCCGATTGCCTTGTCAAACAATGTTAGCCGAAGTAGGTCCAGGCTGGAAAATGGCCTGAGGTAGCTAGACTAAAACATAGCACCAATGTATGAAGTGTTTGACTGTTGGTTCGAGCTATGTGGGGCGATGCAGACTCTGTGGTTGGGGTCCGTGGGACAAGAGGAACCAGTGGTTGGGGACTCTAGGTGGTATGGCTCAGAACCGATGTGAGTGGTGCAGATGTATACACACATTATCCTCATCTCAACGACGCTATACCAAATCTCAGCATTTTCTCATTCTTACTCTCTCTTTTCGTGCTTTATATTTCTTTTGACTGAGTTCTCTTTTGTTCATCTTCCACTTCACTGCCTTTTAACTTGATGTACTGATATGAGCTGTGGTAACTCGGATCGTTACGCAGTAATGCCTGGTCTTATGTCGATGATGATATGATTATCAAGACATGCCAGTAACTTTTATGCAGAGGAAAGCTGGAGAAATAATCAGTCTGCTGCAAAATCAGCAATAAATACAGTTAGCTATTCATAATCTAGGGGTAGTAAAAACTAATTTGCTTCTGCAGCTTCACAAGAACTGATGCAAGAAGAATCATTTATTTGCTCTAATCAATACGTGGACGTGAACTGAATGAGGTTTTATCATGACTTCGAGCAGTGATGGATGACGAAAGCAATGAAAACCTCAGCTGGTAAGTGAAAGAACTGCTCAGCATTTGCACACTTACGTCATCCCTGATCTTGGAATGATTATTCAACTACCTATGAGTGTGAGTATAATACGTTGCTGTCAGCTTTGTACTACGGTACGGCTGAGGTATGGCCATTAAGACTGAAGGATAAAGAGACTATGTACTCTTGAAACATTACTTGAGTATGGTGGGAGCATCACTTGAGCGATTTTGAAGCTAGACATTTAATGCCATGCAAGGTGTCAATTGATTAGGTTGCACACTCTCAGTGACCCATGCAACTTTAGTCGAAAAAGGAGTAGGCTGAAAAGTTAAAGGTAATCAAGCTGAGATAGAACTTCAGTGCATGAAGTGTTTTAATGTCGTTCTGAGTTATGCAGATATCTGGTTGGCAACGTGGAAATAAAAAGAATCAATCATGGGAAGTGCTCAGTGATATGGTTTGAAAATCGGTTACAACTAAGCAGATGTATGCACCCCTTATCTTCATTTATTTTTTCCTCTCCTTTCATACGCTTCCTTCAAACCTGTGTACGAAGGATTAACTACCATCGCCAGCCACTTTCTTGTGCATATATAAATTCATCTGCTGCTAAGTATGCAGAAACAGATTGTCCAGCGATGACGCCTACACTTTCCAGGATGGTCAAGTAACGGTCAACGCAGGTTGATAAATAGCTCTATATTATAACACTTACATGACAGTGGACAGTTTCAGATGGTTCGTTCGTAGTAGTCTACGAAATACAACGAAACCTTTCGAAGGGTGTCAGGAAACGTTAATTTATTAGTCTTTTCTTACGCACTTCTATGTGCTACTGTGAAGTGCAGCATCTTAGTCGGTGTTTCTGTACAAGTATCTATGTTAATTTGTTAGATATCTAGTAGTGCTGATCGATGCTAACCTAGCTCCAGGATAAATCTTGATATAACTCGCATCCAATAATAGTTCTACGAGACTAGACACTTCCAAATATTTAGCCCCAGAAATCTAAAAAAAATGGGTAAATGCACTAAATTATAATGTCCGAGATATTAACTTTCAGGTTTCTCTTCTCTAATTCTTGTATGGCTGATATCTCAGAAACCAGGGTGATTGAGAGAATGTCACAACAGTCGATGGAAAGCTTGAAACTGCCACTGTTGGACGCTTGCTTTATTTGAAGATACCCTACATTATGGAACTGGATTGTTTGGTTCTTAGAAACAGATATCAGTGCGATATGTCTCTTAGTGAGCTCATATCTAGTACGCTTCAAATAAGTTTGATTGAATCAGATACCTTTTTAAATGCCTTATAGCTAAATACTTTTACCTTTTACCAATTACTGCAATACACTAAGTGGGGGTCGGTGTCATGAATGGGATAACAAACTTTCAGCTGAACGCTGACACGCTGGTGAACTGACATAAAAGCAGTAAAGTAATAATCAGAGCGAACGATTACCATGTTAAGTAACTTACCGGGTCAACTTCATATCTGTCAAGGGGCGATCCACCACTTGGTAATCAATGGTAGGATCATCTTCTTGGAATGTGTATCCCGGGGAAACAATTTTATCCCATGAACACTCTCCACCGCACGATCGTATTATCAAACAAATTACTTCTCGAGGGACTTCACGCATAAGAAAGAAACGCTTATTCTTGAACAATTTCTTAACATTTTGAACTTCTAGTTGTTTACTTATGGCTTTTGAGACCTGTTCATCGATAGCCTAAAAAAACAGCATTATTAGTTTTGATTATCAGAAGTAAATCCAGTAAAGCTACTAGTTATTATTATAACACAAACGTGGTATAGCAAGGACACCAAGAAATGAGCCACAAAAATAATGTAACAACATTATGAAGCCATAAAGCGAAGTGGATGAAAATAAAACACTAGGAAAAGAATGATTAGAAGTGCAGTCCAGCAAGGTACATTTGAAACGAAATATCCATTACTTTTCATCAGCAGAAGATAGGGGGAAGCTACAGCATGACCGCCACTGGTTTCAATAACTCGACACAACTATCCTTCATCCCACAGCGCCACGTCATACACTGACCATCGTTCCGTTCCTTCCACCCAGTCACAGGGTTGCCAAACAATGAACGGCGTGTTAGCCGTTGCGACAACATAGGTAAAACATCTCCAAGCCACCGAAATGGGTGTTTCCAGATGACCACCTATTGGATGACGATATCCGTCGTGCCCAAATACTCCCTCGTACCTCAGTATTACTTACATGGTGGTGTCACCGGATACGAGCAATCCTACTTATGCAACGATGATCTAACAGAGTTGTTGCATATTCTCAGCTCGGAGGCCAGGTTTCACAGGCGTAGACCAGAACTGCTCGCACCAAAGCGTTTTAAACCGAATATTTACGGTCAGACTGATGTATACCACTCTGGCTTTCAATATGCGGTTGGAAATTTCATCACACACCACCAACACTCATACAACTACCCAGATACACAAACTTGTCGACTACTTCAAACCGCCTACCACCGAGGGTGAGTGCAGACACAGGTTCCTGCCAATCTTGCAAGAGTACTTTGCACTTTAACAATGCAAAGCACATACCATACTTGCGGAGGTTATTAGTAGTTCCTTAAAATTAATTTAAAGTACCCCCCCCCCCCACAATTCTAAAGGTCTTCGCCTGCATCATGTACGTACAACCGAATCGAACACAACCTTTAGCGTGTATTCATTAGCCTTGAATCTGCTCAGATAGTAGTTATCATTTTTGGAAACTTCTGATTTTACTCCTAAGTATTAACGGAACCACGTGTCCCGATTGATCAACGACAGACTTATTTGCTTCTGATGATTTTACATACAAGTGTACAACATTAGTAAATGAGATCACAAAGAAATTTTCTTCCCTATATCATTTCTGTCTTATTTAACACTACTGTGTTAGCCACCTTGGTAAAAATAAATTTTGAGGTTACGTATGCAACTGATTGTAACTGGAACAGCTACCATAGATTTTCTTATTATTATTAAACTAAAATTAGCTCAACATTTACAAAAAGTACACTAGTTCAACAAGCATGAGATGTAAGGCGAAGTCAAAAACCTTTAATTTAGGAGATTCGTTGCACGCTGGTTATCACTAATGAACTGCAAAACAAGCAAACCAGTTCACGACCCGATCAGCTAAAAAAAGTCATTCCCACGACGTTACTGAATATATTTACAAGAAACTGAGATAACGCACCTATTGAGAATATGGTAATCATTCTGTATTTTGAGAGTCAGACAGTGTGCCTTTACATTATGCAGTCCACATACAATTTATCCGGTGCTTTCTCACAAGACATATGTGGAAAAGTACACTAGCGGAACAATAGATTAATCTCTACATTTAAAGGCATGTTCTGGATGCAGACGGTAATTTATTCTGCTATCGGCTGCAGGCAATATAACGAGGTGTTACAGATAGTCAGGTGATTGATGAATGTAATATAAGAGGTGCATTCAGAGCGTACCATTTGTTCTCTTTCCTATTAACGAATCGATATATTTAAATTACGCAATGCATGAATGTCATGGAGGGAAATAAACGTATAACCAACGGCAAAAACCAACTCAGTTTACAGAAAATGAAATCGTTACTTGAAGTTCCGTCATGTCATCATCGGTCACTTCACCAGCTGGCTCCGAACGCTTCAATGGGAAGCTGAGGGATGACATAAACTGCATTGCAACTTTTAATCAGAGTGAATAAAAACATACCTCGAAAAGACTCTCTTTTTGTCCACAGTAATAACCATTTGGGTCATGTTCGACACGAACAGCAAGCTTCGGAGGATATACTAAATTGTTGATCCGATACAAACTAGGAGGAATAAGATACACAAGGAACTTACTGGCACATTAAAGACCCTACTAACGTGGCATCGAATTCTAAACATGTCGCCAATATACGGTAGTCCACATCAGTAGGTGTATGAGTTACAGACGCATGAGGGATAATCCAGACCACTGGAATTCCATCAATTTCCGCTTGGATATAAATCCCTTTATGCTTATGAACGCCTATACGTCTAAGAATTAAGTGAACGCAACCAACCTTTCGTACAGCTTGGGTGGTTACAACCAAATTCAAGAATTCTACACACAAGCGCCGACTAATGGGAATCAAGGCGGGGTGAAACTGAGTCAGTCTTGGGAGCTTTGAGAAGAGAAATAACAGGTTAAGACTGTCGCTTATGTCGCGAATAGCATCTTGTCTTGTAGGGTATCTGAAAACTAGTAAGTCAGGGTCACAGGTAATTACCGTTCTTTGACAATTTGGTGCAAAGTATACTTCGGTTTATTTATTCTCACTATGAATTGTTTCTCTTTATCTTTCTTTTCCCGAGCTTTTTTAAGTTTTTTGTGGTATATTCGAAGTCGCCGGAACGTTTCAATCAAAGGTTCATGAGACAGGAACGCAATATCTTTGGCATTATAATAGATTCTGGGTTGAGTATTTCCCTTTCCGACTTTTTTCTGCTCCTCGTTCCACAGGATATATTCCTTTTAATATGCACAACCGTCTATAATAGTCAGCATATATATGAATATTTGGGAGTGACGTGCCTAAAGTTGGGAAGATTTAATTGCAAGCGTCTCATGGCCTGCTTCTGGCTGAGAAACGCCACTACTTGTCCCTTTGTATGCTTGAAACATGAACAGTTCTGACCATATAACAACTTACTTTTTTCTTCATCCTGCCCATCACGCGTATATTTGAAGAAACCGGAGACCTTCAGAGTACTTACCTGATGGCTTTAAACGACATCCGTTCTTCAATGCCCGTAAGCGATGATTAGTTTCATTTGAGTATAAATGTAAAAGACGGCTACTCAAAGATGGTTTCATTCCGAGCTCTTAAACAGTTTCTGCCGGCTTTCAAAGGAATCTGTCACAGAATAAGTGGTAAGACCGAGTGCTATTACCCAGGACAATATCCAAGATAAGAAATACCACTATAAGGTGGTAGCATCTGCACAATAAGAGAGGAAAAAGGTTCAGTTTTTCTAACTGATTCGAGAGGTTAATTTGGTCCCAAACTCTTGTACCGTTTACACCTATTGGCTTTTCTTTCGAATCGTTGACTAGACGCCTGAAACCAGTACTCGAATGTCACCAAACGTCTGTGAGGTACGGGATGTTAAATATTTCTATCACAGCTTTGGCCGATTCTTTAAGGTTACCGGAACCCGAGAAACGTTTTAGCAGGAAAGAAATTCAAAGTCATCCTTATTTTGTCACTTACGAAGGTCCCTGAGTCTTGTTGTCTATAAATTCCAGGTATGGGTAGGCCTCCCATGGAGAAGTCGTGATACTACTTAGGCTGGGGATGCATTACGGCACTTTTACTGGATTTATTTCAAGGTTTCATACCTAAGACTACTAAGCCAGTTCACCACCACAGTTTAGAGTGACAGTCTTTCGCCATCATAAACAACCTTCGAGACTTTGATGTCTCCCATAAATAGCTCTCTCGATGGTCTTAGTATCTTCTGTAATACGTTGAGGCGAAAAAGTAGAACATTGGCTGAGGTAAGGTCTGGTTGGAATACCTCGAGGTTTTAAGCCTGATAGTTTACGGGCTGAGCTATAAGTATAATCGTTCAATTCAGTTTCTGTGGTGATTTACACCATAGCTGAATGAAACTGAGAGGCATATTTCTACTTTTAGAATTCAGGGTTCCAAATAAAAATGGTCTGCCGTAGGTTAACCCGCATCAAAAGAGGAGTACGCTCTTCAATACCATTTAGATCAGATACAACTATCGGCATTTATGCGTGCCTGACATTTTGTTAGCTGGCAGCTGCATTGACAGAAATTATTGGTGCAGTTAGAACCACAATTTCTTAAGTTACACACTAAAACGAACACTTGCTTGTTTTCACTTTGATGTAACCTCCGCATATATGTATATGTACATATGAGTGAACTCATGAACAATAACCTTGAGCTTCACCTTGGTTCCCGGAAAACTCAAAAAAGTGGTAAAATGATACAAGGTTTCCTGCCGAGTTCAAATGTGTAGAAAAACCAATCGCATGCTTTCGACAGCTTTGGTATTCTCTACACCCTTCTAGAAAGACATTCAACCAATGTCAAGTTCGCACATATGACCACGTGGTTTTTTGTCGTGTGATTAGCTGTGAACGGTTTCGAAGAATTTCGGGCCCTTTTGAGTCACTTAATTAGTAACGGTTCGCTGTATAGTACCTCTCTCCCTCCGAAAAGAGCGACCATGAAATTAATGAATGACGGCTAGATTCAGCGAAAGCGAAAAATCACCTAGATAGTTAGTCTGGACGGTGGGGTTAAAAACACATATATATGAAAACTACTTGTGCAATATGGTTTTTGGCAACACCTTGAACAAAGGATATTCCTGAAAAGCTAGTGCGTGTCCACAGACAAAGCGAACCAACTTCGGTTTTTAGATTCGTTTGAATGGTTGCATGTCGTTACATTTCGATACCCGTGAACGTCTCTGATTGGGGCCTTTATTCGTGACCAAAACACCTCGACGAAACATGTGTTCCTGCAGCAGAATCTCCGAATTCGGAGGCTAAACCAACTACATGTACGTAATTGTGCTCTTAAGCTCTGGTGGGCAGACTGTTGCCCTGCTTGAGGGGAAATATAAACGCTGTATGATAGAAACCATTGTACTTGCAGTTATATTTTCGATTCTTTTCATAAAACCTTGTATTGCACAGTCCTCTAACCCTAACATAGTTTGTAGCCGGGCACCCTCTGGCATACATTCTCTTAACAAGCATTATTCTGCTGATGCTAACAGTCACTTTTATACCACGAAGAAGACTAGGAACTGTTTTCATCCTCCAAGATGTAGTGTCTCTGCATTGCTGAAACTACAGTGCCGTACATACTAAGTTGTTATCTGTTTCTGCAACAGTTGCTCCGACAGGCGTTTCCAAAACCTTGGCGTGGCATACGCATAGAACTTTTACCAAGCAAAATTCAGATTTAGAGAAGCTGCCTGATAAAGGATTAAAGAAGCAATGACAATATATCGTCAAGGACAAATTTTCACCCATGAAGAATAAAGCATTTGAATAAATAGTCATCAGTAGCCTTTCTGCGCCGCTGAATAGTCACATTTCCACAACCATGGCAGGATAAAAATTTGAATGCGGTAAATGCACGTCATCCAGTGCCGGTGACCTACTGGCATCTATTAAGGGATATTCTGGGTCTGTGCAGGTGGCTGAGCACTTGAAAGTCATTTTGGTTAAGCTTATTAGCGCGTCACCATACGAAAATGGGGAATTCGCCGCTCGGCAGCAAGTTCACGCTCGGATCAGTACGTACTTTCGTCACGACTTAGTGTCGAAGCCAGTTTTCATATCTGCTCCCGGTGTCTTACATTCTTTATTAAACGGTTTGTGGAGATGGTTCATTTCTGTCTATTGATGCTTGGCATACATCAATGGGCATTGTTTTATCCCAGCTATTTGCCACTGCGAAAAACTCCGAATCATGTCTGAAGGAGGTGGACAGGGTAAGATTAATTATTTTGTGATTTCTCTTTAAATGGTATTCGCATACCAAATACTTTTTCTCTATTCTCATTGTAAGTAGAGTCTTGGAAGCCTGCAATTAGATTGGAATTACCATATTTCATCAGTACTATTCTTAAATATTACTGCATCCATCTTCAAGCAACTTCTCTGCAAATGTACGACCTGTGATGAGCATCCATATGACATCACAGGGGATGCTTCCTTGAAGTCTTTTGGCATTTATTAATCCCCTGTTTCATTGACCGGCGCCATTTCGTCCACCGTAGCTGTAAACAGCATACGAAAATGCAGAAAAAAACTTACAACTGTATCTACAGAAGCGGATTCTTTGACTCGGCCCCAAAACCCAAAGGAATTTGGTCAACATTTACCGAGCTATTGAGCATAATGCACAGCATCATGGCGGCTACTGTGGACATATGCCCAATTTGGCATGTACAAACAAAAACAGATCGTTTCGTCGGGAGGGTGATATATTGTTACCAGTATTATTTGTTATTGTCCACACAGTACATCTTGATGTTTCAATGAGTCCGGAAATGCATGTCCATTGGAAAACACATTGAATCTACCGTGGTATTTCACTCAGTATATGTGATCCCTCAAATTAAAGCGCTTGAGTAATCTAGCCGGCATTACTTTTTTCGGGCAAGAACCCGCCGAGTTACTTCCCCTTCTGTTTGAGTGATGGTTTTACATATTCATTAGACATGACTTTCACTTCTGCCAGATAACCTACAGGCATAACAGAGATTCTAAATTTAGATTAAGGTGCACCATTTGTACGTGGTGTGAAGTTTTCTTTCCTTCAGACTGGGGATTTCCACTACGTTGGATGAAAAGATGATAAAAATTTTTTAAAAGAAAGTATCGCCGGAGATTTCCCGTCACTAATTTTTATAATCGTATCTGTAAAAATGGTATGCACCTGTAAATTCGGGAATAAATTGTTATTATCATTATCATTATTATTACCATTACCACTGTTATGGTACCGAGTCGGACGCAGGTGGTCCTATTTTGAACTACAGTCTCCTCAGCTACATCTGCACGTCTAGACGTAAGCGAAAGACCCCTAGTTTTGATCTCGTCTGTCAGACACATGACGCCCCTGTCAACGTACGGGGTGCTGGAGCATCCCCCCATTAACACCGACCGCAGTTTGATGCAACACAACAATCTACACTGAAAAGGGTATGCCGAACTTGAACGTATGTTGGAATGGCATGTTCCATCAGGACAGTGTTGTGGTGATGCAGGGAGGGGCTTTAGGTACCCTCCCATAATGGAGAGCTAAATTCAGCCTCTACCGAAACTTCACATACCCGTTCGTGTGCGGAGAGGTACACAGCTGCAGATCCACGAAGACAACAACCGATGGCTTCTGAACAGAAGAACAGGAGGCCATTTTTGGAGATGCAGCCACAGCTGCATCCAGGTGACCACAAGTTTCCAGACGTCAGTTGGAACAGTGACGTCTTGTGTCGTGATGGACAGAACACAGAAGTTGTGGCTTACTCTGAAGATAGAGAACTAAGTTTTATTGCCTTCCGTTGATGGGAGGAGGTGATGCGTGTCGACTAGATTTATAGGGGGGGATAAAATGAGGTATGTGAAACAGTTGGTTAACCCGTAAGGATTTCACACCATCATATAAGTCTTACACAGACTAGAAAGAGCAAGTATGTTCGCTTACTTCTGCGAAGTTTCACAGGCTTCATATCTAAAACGGGTAGTACGATGTTTTTAATGAACTAGGCGCCAGCCGCCATAAATAATATTCGGCCCACCGCAGTTACGTTACTGTAATTATGTGCTCATTCTGATGGAGGTGGTCCGTCAAAAGGCAAGGGGTGTAAAGTTTTACGGAGTCAGCTGCATAGTTTTTTTATGGGCCATTCATCGAGGTAATGCAATACGAGGCCGACCCGTGGACGGGTTGAGCAAGCTCACAGCACCCGTCCGTAGGCGAAAAATACAGGCAATTTCATTGGTCTCAGTTTAGAGACCGTTGCAGAAATTACACTGCAAAGAACAGATACTACACATGATCTTAGCTCAGAGAGCCGAGAAGCTGCATAGTTTTCCCGTGGCAGCGTTGGATGCCACTTGGTAAAAACGACGAGGACCAGACGCGCGGGTGGACAGGTAAGGCTT